AACTACGGCCGGATCCCAGTCGACCGTGTTCAACAGGACAATCCACTTCGGGTCGCCAGAGTCAACCGTAAATCACGTGTCAGCTCAATGCCATGTCGGGTTCAGGCGAATTTGCACGATTTGCTCCCTTGAAGGCCCAGAGGGTGTCGTCTGGCGATGACATTGTCGGATGGAGAGACGCCTTCAGACTTTGAATGGAAAGAAAGCACTCGATCCAAAGTGAAAAGGATTCTGTTCGTCTTGTCTTGTGGTTTGCCTGCTCTCTGATCCCTTCCTCCTGGCTCAAGTGATCTCGATCATACTAGGCCAGTACTTGCGAGTGTCACAGTCCAACGGTTTCCATACCCTCTGGGCAACAACTAGACTGCTTCACCGTGGACAACGCTCCTCGCCTCTTTAGCCGACCGGCTGCTCCGGTTCCAGCCGAATGAGGATGCATATTCTTAGTTTCCTTTGATTGCAGATATCAAAACCAAGATGGAATGGACTTCTGTTTGGTCGCAGTCTCCTTTAGCTTTATCGTGTTGGTTCAACCTTGTTTTCGAACCATTGCAATGCTGTGGTACCATTCATTTTCATTTGGTTCGGAGGGGCAGGTGGAAAGGATTCATGAATTGGCCCCACTGGAAACCGAAGGAGGATGATGGCAACTAGATCGGTGCGAAGACATCTCAGACCCAACCTCTTTCGACTCCAGCGAAGCCAATCTACGACTGCCTTCAACACGCGTTCACAAACCAAATGAAAGGTACCAAAATATCAATTTATGAAGCGAGTCTTCGTGACGTATGCTAGTACAGTGGACCCAGCCTTGAGACGATGAGCGACGTGGCGTAGAGATGCGGAAGAGAAGTCGCTATCGGCTATACGATACCGAGACATGGCATCGATTCCGAGTGGCTCCGTGTAAAAAAGACGCGGGGCGTGGTATCGCGAAGAAGAAATGCATCGAAACTGGAGGGTTACCTGTTGAAAAGGTGTCAATGGAGAAAGGTGCTTCTGGTCTTCGGTAGGTCGAGCTGAGGCAAGCAGTTGATGTAGCAGTGGGGCTGTGAGACTCTGTGAGAGGTCACGACGCAAGAAGAGCCGGAGTGAGTCGTCGGCACGAGGAGAATGGAGCCATGGAAAAATCGATCCAGCCGGGCGTAAAGGTCGCCTTCTGATTGGTGCCGAGGCCAGTTGAAGTGGCTTTGTGTGAGGTGCTGAGGTCTGGCTGATCCAATGGCAAGCTGACGTCAGACTGACGAGGATGTGGTTGGTCGACAGTCCCGGTGCATGAGTCAGGCCTGCGCGGGGAGACAGTGAGGTGTGTCTACGTGAGAGTGTGTATGTGAGGAGACGGCTGGCGTAAAGGTGCATTCTGTCTAGAGCCCTGGGGCCGGATGACAGTGAGCTCGGCTCAACGGATTGGTGCAAACGAGTGATGAGTCATTGCCAGAAAGTGGGCTCACTATTTATTCGCCGATTGGCAGCGCTTCTTCCCACACTCTCAGTTAATCACTTGAATGACCCCCTTCTCTTGGCTTGGTCTTTTGTCAGACTTGCTCCAGCAACTGCGTCTGTCATGACGACGACAAACGCTGTACGAGGACGAGTGGATCCACTTCTTGGAGCAACTTCTGCTTCAGCTAGCAGGTCGCTTCGATAAGTGTCTATGGCCTGGAAATATCATCATCTTGACGATTCGACAATGCTTTAAAGTCTCGAATTTCGGCATTTACGCCTGAAGCCAGCCACTCTTCGGGAGCCTGATCTCCTCATGCCTGAGCATGGCGTCGGGCGAAATTGGTAGCTAAGATTAGTATCGCCTGGCTCACTTCGAGTAATCCTTCACTTGATGGGTCGTTGTCGATTCACACAATTACTTGGTGTCGCCAGACAGGGCATTAGCATATGCATTAACAGATAGTTGAAAATGATTATTCATCTTTTTACCCATTTCCTCCATCAGGTGGGTCGCTTGAAGATCCGGAGGAGATTTCTGTCACATACCAGCCCAGAACAGTGTAAGTTGTTGTTTAGGCTAAAATATGCAAACGAATCTTATAAGATCACGATGTTGTGTTTCATCAATTTTGATCGCAGTCTCTCTCTGATGCATAAAAGTGATCTGACCTCGTTTTCGCAGCTTGGTCGTGTTGTTCGTGCGACCTAGTTGGACGCAAATTGTCCCAAGACCCATGCTGCCGTAATTATGATCATTCTCGGTGTTGTTCGTGGGTTTGGTACATTTCCAGCACGACATGCTTCAGATGCCTTTAGGCCTTTAGTCCAAGCTTATGCATGCATTTTATAACTAAAATTAACTCATTCCTTGAAGTAGGTTGACCTCGTAACTTGGTCTTGTTGTCAGGGTAACTATGTAGAACGCAC